ACAGTTGAAAAAGTTTGATTCTTGATTAATATTATTGATTAAGAACCAAACTCATAGTTAAATTTAAACAAACAAACAAACAAATAAATAAATAAATAAATAAATAAATAAATGTTTAACATCTAGATACTTCTATTTTGCACTATAATGTTGCATAATCTTTGATAAAGAAGTCAAGGCAATAGAAGTTAATTGCAAAAGTGATACTTAAAGCCAGTTCTTTTCTAATGTTTGTTGAGAGGATACTTTATATGGTATTTTCTATTGGAACGTTCTACAATCAACAAAGAAACACCGCAGTGGGTTGTGTCAGATTCATTTTTAGCTCACCAATCAATCCATCAGCTCAACAACAGCCGAGAATAATCTCAATTAACTAAGTGCATTATATCACCAGCAGCATCCATTTATACAGCACATCACAACACAGGGTGGCAATTATGACTTCAGACTTTGACTTGAAACTTAAGCCTTAATATACTACTTCAGATATACTGTTTATGTCATATGAACCACTGTAATTAAAACACCTTGCAACTGAATTTAAGCTATTGCAGTTTCTCGTCAGATCAGTGACTGTAAAGGCCAGTTAAAGTGCATTAGCTACCAGTATATGGTATATTTTTGGCACTTTCATGCTGGTTTTGGCAGGTCATCCTGCAATAATACTGTGATCAGGTTAATGCACCTGCAACAATAACCAGCTTAACCAACTTGTTCCAGTAACACTGCCCTGGACTGGGAATTACAGTCTAGTTTTCTAGATGCGGGATGACAGACCAATTAACCAGTACAGCAAAGACACTAATGCAATTAGGGTTAGTGATAGTAACACCATCTGCTGAGCAGAAGGACATGCTGTCATTGTAGGAAACCGTATGCTAATGTCGCTAACAAGACAGCCTGATCATTGTCATTCCTAAAATCAGACTCAGTGCATTATTCTGTCAGCATTAATACAAATATCTGAATTTTGTTTGCCTTTTGACAGTTTATATGTATGTAACGAAAATGTCCCACAGTGATCAGTTCCCACCAACATTTTATAATATTTCTTTTTACCAGTGTTATTTTACTATTATTTATATACTGTTATAGTATCAATATTTTTATTAATTAAAAGTTTTTATCTGTCATTTTATTTTATTTCATTTCAGTTATTATTATTCATAATTACTTTTTTAAAATGATAAATTATTAATTGATAATCAATTTCAATTATCAATTGGTTTTTAGTTAACAATAACAATAGGCTACTGTCACTACAGTAAAACTGCGGTAGCATATTTGATTTAAAAACAGTAAAAATTGTGAAATATTATTACAATCTAAAATAAATGTTTTTTTAAGTAAATATGTTGTAAAATGTAATTTATTTCTGTGATGCGCATCTGTATTTTCAGCATCATTACTCCAGTCTTCAGTGTCACATGATCTTCAGAAATCAGTATAATATGCTGATTTGCTGCTTAAGAAACATTTCTGATTATTATTGATGTTACAAACATTTAATTGCTCCATATTTTTGTGCAAACTGTGATACATTTTATTTTTCAGGATTCTTTGATGAATAGAAAGTTCAAAAGCAGCATTTATTTGAACATTTTTGTAACATTATAAATGTCTACTCTTACTTTTGATGAATGTAATGCATCCTTGCTGAATAAAAGCATTAACTTTTCATTGACCCCAAACTTAGGGTTATGTAACAACCTTTCTTAAAGCTTAAAAGTAAAGCTTCTGACACTTTTCAGATTGCACACTGCCATAATAGACCTACAGTTTAAGGCCTGTTAACTTCTAATACTCCTATATACAGATAAATCTTGACCATCATCTGGCTATAAACAGTAGAAGGTACCTTCACATAGAGGGCGATCTGCAGGTCATGTGGATTGCCCTCCTGTTGAGCTGGATTCTCCATCTTTGTCGTATTTTCCGAGGTTTTTTCCTCTTCCTGTTGAACTACAGCTGCTGCAGGGCATCCATTTGCCATAATGACCTCTTGAACTTTGGCCTTGATATTCACCTCGCCTTCACTGCTCCCGCTCACTCTTCTGACCCGACTGCTGAGGGGCTTCGGCGGCTCTTGGAAATGAGCATCCGAGCTCACCCTGCCCTTCAACCAGGCAGGTATGGTGACTTTACGCCCCCCCTGGGCTTTCCTCCTGGGCTCATCTTCAATGACAGCCTTGAGCTCTTCTAGCCAGTTCCCCGCCCCCTCCTCTACAGGTGCTGGCACTTCTTGCTTTGTCTGTTCCTTTGCAGCTTCACCTCCCTCTGCGACCTCCCGTTTGCTATTGCCCAGCTGTTCCTGCTTCTTGCACACCCCCTCTTCTACAACCTCAGGATCATCAAGTGGCTGTTCCGCCTTTGTACAGCTTCCCTTCTCTATAAGAAGCTCCTCCTTCTTGACCAGCTCTTTTGTAACCTCTACAACTCTTTGAGCATCATCTTGAATCTTTTTGATGCCTTCTGCCTCTTTATCAGCTCCTCTTGTCTCCTCAGGTCCATTGACAATAGGTGATTCGGTATCTGCTACTATTTTTTCACAATTCTCCAGATTGGTGTCACTCACCACCTGTTCAATCCGCTCTAGACTTTCATATTCCTGCACGATGCTTTCCACCAACTGATCTGAATTCTGGACCATCTCCTCTATGTTTCCACCAATCATATCAGTTGATGGTTGCTCTGTTGCAATCCAGTCAATCGAACTTTCTTCTGGTGCATTGTAAGTGGTCTTTTCATCACTAGTTGTCTCGAAGTCATCATTGTGCATTGGCTCTCCAACTGCTATACAGTCCTCCAATAAAGGCACCTCGGCTGTAGACTGTTCTTCGCCAACATTATCAAATGTTGCTGTTTCTTCCTCTTCCCCAAGACTCTGAAAGTCTTCTATAGATTCTCCTTCACTGGTAGAAACCGTCCGTGGCGCTTCGTCTACATCGTTTTTTACACCCTCATCATCCCAGCTTTCCACCTTCACCTCTTCATGCTCCTCTTCTTGCAAAATTATGTCACTCTTTACTTGCTGAATTTGATCCTCTCTGGACTTGTTTTTTATTTTCTCAAGGAGGCTACAGGTAAACTCTCTTACCTCAGACAGGAGCAGCTCCTGATGTTCCTGTGTCTCCGTCTGCCTTTCGCTCAAGGTTTGCATTTGTGGTTCATCGCTTTCCTTTTCGTCTTCATACAGCGTTTCCAACTTGTGATCTGCTCGATCCTTGTCCAGTTCTTTCAATGTTCCTCCAAGCTCTTCAGCTTCGTTTCGAAGTTCTGGAACTTGTGTTTGTGTTGTCGTTGGCAGTTCAACTGTTACCTGTAGCTCAGGCGTTGTTAGTTTGGCGGTTATGTCCACTTCTTCTTCCTCCATCTCTCCAGCATTTAACTCATTTTGCAGAACCACTGTCTCTTGGCCAACTTGGTCCTCTACATCTTCCACATTATCCTCTTCCTCTGTTTTATGAATGATCACGTCTGTTGAGGGCATTGCATTGCTTTCTCCGCCATCATCATCTCCAATGTTGATATCCTCGTCCACCTCTTCGGCCAGTTCAACCTCCTCCTCCTCCTCCTCTTCCTCTCCAGTCCTCCGATCTTCCATCTCCATGCACAACCCTACAGGACTGTGGATGACAGCTCCGTTAGAAATCTCCATGTTGATACTCATATCATTTTTGGCCTGGGCCATAATTCACTATGTTCACTATGACTATGTAGAACTTGTATAACTAGCACACCAAAGCTCTTCTGTCTACTTCTGCAGTCTATGTTCTGTAAAGGTAACTAGGACTTACTCTCGCTCCCACTCTTTTTCCTCTGGAGGATTATGGTAAATTTCACATTCTGATCCCCACGTGACTTGCCTGCCCTCTCAAATCCACTCCAATGGGAGCCTGGTCAGCTCAAGATGATCGGTTTAAGGGAAGGGCAGCGATTTAAAGTAGTGAATTGGAATTCTCCATCTTGTTTGCTACCTTAGATGAACTGAAAAAAATATACAAATAAATAAATAAAAATATATATATACTTTCTGAACTTTTTTCAAAAATTATTTTTCTTTTTTTTTTCTTTTTAAAGTATTTTTCAGGGAAACGTTGCTTTACTGAAATTTCTATTTCTATTTTTTTTAAATAGATTTTTATTACATTTTATTTTAAAGTACATTTTAATTCATTACATTTAAATATTGTGTTTCGCTTTAAAGAAGTACACCTTTTTACATTTTCATTTAATTGCAAATAATGTGCAATTAAGTGTCCAAAAACATACCATTTAGTTTGCAAATAAGTATAGTCTTTTATACTATATACTATATTCATTAGTACCCTTTTGTACTAAAAGTATGCTAAAGTGTGCTTCTTTTTCGCAAAGATAGATAGATAGATAGATATTCTTATTTATTGCAATGAATTAAGACAATTTTAGTGTAAACCCAGTATCAAAATACTTTTGGCCACTGTTTTTCCAAGCAGTGCATTTAATGAGCTTTATCGTGTGCATTACAAATCTGACCAAAAGAGGGCACTCAAAGACCACTTAAGTGTGATAATCTCTGCATTAATCACATTTAAAATACAAGCACTCTACACTTTACACAAACCTAACCATGTATTCCGGTGACTCCTGCGCTTTTTGTTACATTTTGAACAATCTATATCATTTTCACAAGGAATACTTACATCAATGCTTCATGCACAGCGCTCGTGCGTAAGCGGAAACCATGACGTCATATCAGCTGTTTTGGCCCCCTGTGCAGGCTGTCGCAAGTGTAGACGTCATTTTCGTTTCAGGAATACATCACGGTTTTGCTAGTAACACTATGCAGCACATTTCATGTGCACTAGCTTTGCACGAACAGTAGCGTGTGTCAGCTTGAGGTTTTGGAGACGCTGCTTTTGCAGAAGGTAGAAAGCCGAGCATGACGCCATGAGCTGAGCGCTGAAACGTTTGATCAAAGGCACCGCAGTTGAGATCAAAGGCACCGAACGCCGCGGTTACATCTGTTGCCATGCAGCAGTCAGAGAGCGGCGGAGGGGCGGCGACTTCTGAAGTCCAGCTCAACGACCAACCCAACGCGCTCATCGCGTGCAAAGTGCCAGAAGAGGTTTTTAATGAGCAGCAGTTAAAGGTAGGCGTGCACTCGCTCTGCTTTTACCCTGATTATCACCCGCTTTACCGCAGCAGTCAGACCCGATCTCGCGGAAGTGTTTTCCATCAAAGCCATATAGGACACGAACTACATTGTTGTTCTTTACCAATCACAATTCATTTACTGGAGTAAGGCTTGTGGGACATGAGCATTGCACAAACAAAAAGCTTTTTATTTGTGTCATGGTAATACCATTGTTTCATGCACCTTGTTTTCTTGGACATGGTACTGCCATGTGTTTGGACATTGTCCCTTGACGAATGGTAGTTGCATATGCACCACAATAATACAATGTTTTGGACATTTTACTTTGGGAATGTGATGTCTTTTCTGCCTTGTTTTACTAAAATGCAACAAAAAGTGCCATGGCACTACACTGTTCTCTTGGACATTGTACTATGGTATTTTGGAAATGCATTTTTATAATTTTTTTGGACATAGTACCACAGTAGTTTTTTTAGGGTGTACACTTGTAATCTACATTAATTTGAACAAATCCATGTCCTGCAGATAATATGCTAAAAAGCTGAAAGGCTTTAGGTCTCAAGGCGGGCATCACAAGTGTATTTGTAAACATGCATCTTGTGTTTAATAGAAAATGCATCGCGATTTCACTTATTTTAGTCATATTTGCTCCCTCACAATACATATCTGCCTCAATACTAAACAAACCAAACAAGTCAGTCTACTGTGCCACTGTATGAGCCACACCGAATTCATTTTATGTAGAATCTGTATTGTTTATAAAATGGTTTACAAGAAATTACCTAAAGGAATAGTTCACTCAAAAGTTAAAAGATGTAGATGAGTTTGTTTCTTCATCAGATTTGGAGAAATATAGCATTGCATCAGTGTCTCAGCAATGGATCCTCTGCAGTGAATGGGTGCCGTCAGTATGAGAGTCCAAACAGCTGATAAAAACATCACAATAATCCACAAGTACCACTCCAGTCCACCAGTTAACATCTGGAGAAGACAAAAGCTGCTGTTTGTAAGAAACAATTCCATCATTAAGATGTTTTTAAAGGTGTCATCGGATGCAAAACTCGCTTTTACATGTTGTTTGAACATAAATGTGTGTTGGCAGTGTGTGTACACAACCACCCTATAATGATAAAAATCCACCCAGTGGTATTTTTTGAATCTCTATAAATATTATCCCCTTTTTCAAATCAAGCCATTCTCAGCTTATTGGCTGTGTGACGTCACACAGACCCAGGCCACTCCCACGATAGTTGACTGACACGGCCGTCTTACCTTAGACCCGCTCTGAGTGAGCTATGAAACAGTCCAAGAATGACAAGAATGGCTCCTAAGTGATTGAGGTGTTTTGTTGTTGGATGTAATAATGAACATAGCAGTCGTCATTTACTCCCGACATCTGAGCCGCTGAAGACGCAGGGGATTAACGTTACTTTCGTTTTTGAAGGGAATGCGCCCTCCAGTCTACCTAAATGCGAATCATTCGTGATCCAGCTTCACCTACAGATGAAGTGAGTATAAGGGTTTTTTTATGAATTTTTGCAAATCGCCTTTCCTAATAATATGCTAGTTAGCAAGTTTCGCGGCTAAAGTAAACAGGACGGCTCGTCACCCCACAGAAGAGAGGGGTGACGAGAGCTCATTAGCATTTAAAGGGAAATGCAGCAAAACAGATTGCTGTGAAAAGAGCTGATATTAACAAGGTAAAAAGGGTGTTCTTTACACTACTATTGAGAAATTTTAACCAAAGTATGTTATAGGGCTGCACGATAAATCGAAATGGATTCAACTGCTTTCATTGATTCAACGTGACTAATAAACACACGACTACGGCAATATACGGTTTATCTGAGTTCTTATTATTATAATTTTCATTAAAATAAAGTATATTTATAATGCAATGCCTTTATCACTGCTTAAATACTATGAAATATGTTGCGTGCCTTATTCTGTGTGAGAAGCCACATCATCTCACAGAAGGATTTATTTCAAACACTCGACTGACGTTATGAAGTGAGTTTGGAGTAAAAATATGTTATTAAATGTGGTATTTTCACATGCTTTCAGATGGAGCAGCATTTACTTCACAGAGCCGTAGTTCACTGAGAAGCTACGCAAACAGCTTTCATTATCGCGAACGATTTCTTCGATTTCAGAATCGCGCAATAAAATCGTCTGCAATTTTTTTTGCGTAACTTGTCAGTGAAATACGGCTATGTGTAGTAAATGCTGCTCCATCTGAAATCACGTGATGATGATTTACTGCTGATTACAGACCCGGCATTACTAACAAAATGCGCATGACAATCGCATTCGATTAATCGTGCAGCCCTAGTATGTTATAGACTTTTCATTAAGACCCCAAAGAATCATATCAACTTGTGGAAAATGGGCATCCGATGACCCCTTTAACTTCAAACCATTGCTTCTGGCTTAAACCTTCTGTCCGAGTCCATAATCACGCTTCCTCCAGTGAAAAAGTGGTCTGGTCTGAATCAGGAGAGAAATCTGCACAGATCAAGCACCGTTTACAAGCCAAAAGCTCTAAACAAATATGTGGCTGGATTTTGATGTGAGAGACAACAGGAGATGGACTTTTTAACTGGAAGGAAGCATTATTTTGGACTCGTATTTTAGCCAGAAGCAATGGTTTAAAGTTACAAATGTCTTAATGATGGATTCGTTTCTTACAAACATGCAGCTTTTGTTTTCTCAAGACGTTAATTGATGGACTGGAGTTGTGTGGATTACTTGTGTTTTTAGCAGCTTGTTTGGACGGCACCCATTCACTGCAGAGTAAGCGATGTAATGCTAAATTTCTCTTCGGCCCGACCTTCACCTGTTTTATTGGAAAACTAACAGCACACTTTTTCTCAACAGGAGGAGACCTGAGGCATTATTTAGGTCTATAGCACCGATGATTATCGATTGAAGTTTAATACTAAGTTTGAGCAGAACGTAATCCTGATGCTCGACTGAAAATCTCAGTTGGTGCTTCTCTCAGTGATGTGATTCTTAACCCAACACAGTCCATTTTCCATCCTCTCCCTCATTTTCCATTCTAATAATATGACTATGACCCGCTGGGGTCTCTGTTTAGTGAGGGTGTTTGAAGCTTCCACAAAGCCATGGCTTATTTTAGCTCCACACCTGCTTTACTGCTACAAAAGGACGTTCAGTGAGGAACCAGACTCCTAGAAATATCCTTGACCTCAGCTGCTCTCATGGAAAAGAAGAGCATTTTTTGCTTTGCATTTTTTTTCCACTGAGGTCAAAGGTCGCTCGCTGTCCTAGCTCATATTTATCTCTTGAAGCCACTTATGAAACAGTTGTTTTTCTCTGCCATGCATGACTTTCATCCCAGTATTGTTTAAAATCAGGCTTATTATGTAATATCGCCATTTCCAAAGAGGGCTATTTTTAGCAGGAACTTGGATTAAGTGTGGAATTTGAAACTATCCCATAAAAACAATGGAAAATGTGTTAGCGAAGAAGGCCAGGTGTCTGTCAGGATTACTAAATTATAAATAAACAAGCTGTGCTTTTCCATAAGACAGAGCATTGCACAAATCTGATGTAAAAGTGAAGTCGGTCATTTTTTTACATCTCCGGTTTTTATATGGAAAGATTATGATATTTCTATATATATATATATTAACTTTAATTTTGGCATTATTAAATATCTCTGATACTGTTTAAAAATGAATTATCTTTCTCTATGAAGTTGAGTGACTAAATTGTGATTCATTTCAATTATGTCATGAATTGATGAAATAAAAACCATGTTGTGATTGTTCTTTTGAACGTAACACGCTGAATGGTCATTCTGTATATTATAGGTCTTCCCTTGAAAGGATAGTTCATTCATAAATGAAAATTGTTATTCCAAACTCGGATGAATTTCTCTATTCATCAGAGCACAAAAGAAGAACGTAAAGATAGCGTGAAATTAATCCGTAAGTCTTCTGAAGTGGCGAGCGCTTTGTATGATGAACAGAATACAGTTTAAGCCTTTATTCACCCTCAAATTAAATAATTTGAGCATTGCGTTGCCACATTTGATGTAGTTCTTTAGTGTAATGTTTGGAATGACATGACAATGAGCAAATGATGACAGAAAGTTCATTTTTGGGTTAATTATCCCTTGTCCAATGACTGAGCAACCTACACTGCGATTGAGTCTGTATGTTTTTTAATGCTTTTGAAATAAGTCTCTTCTGCTCACCAAGGCTGCACTAATTTGATCAATAAATACAGTAAAATTGTGAAATATTACAATTTAAAATAGCTGTTTTCTATGTGAATCAAATCTGAATTTTCAGCATCATTACTCCAGTCTTCAGTGTCACATGATCTTCAGAAATCATTCTAATATGCTGATTTGCTGCTCGAGAAACATTTCTGATTATTATCAATGTTGAAAACAGTTGTGCTGCCCAATATTTTTTTTGTGGAAACCGTGATACATTTTATTTTTCAGGATTCACAGCATTTAAAAAAAACAGCATTTATTTGAACATTATAAATGTCTTTAATGTCACTTTTAAACAATTGAATGCATCATGCTTTAAAAATATCTTACTGACCTCGCATGTGTTATGGTTAAGCATTAGACATTCCAGGTCACTTTATTCCACCAGCTTGTTTTGAAAGGTAAAGCTTCACCTGTTTCTGTGTTTGTAGTGTAATGTCTGCCTGGTTGATGTTTGACCGCTCTACCTCACCCAAATCCTCATTTTAATCATTATTAAAGAGCCAGCGAAACAGTGCAATTGAGAATACTGTACCAGTACCATCTAGCATGGGGAAATGTTGAAGCTGTCCTGCATTATGGCTGAGTGCACATGTGACTCGGCTTTTGTCCTGGGATTGACTCTGTCCCGTATGCATGAGTGCTCTGCGTCTGTTCCTCCAGTGCAGCACCGTAAACCTGGTTCTGCGTTCTCTCTGTCACCTTTCATAGCAGAAACTGTGACTATATGTTTGAAGTGAGTTTG